ACCCTCCCTTGACGTTCCACAGCAGGGGGAAAAAAACTTGAATTATGTCAGCAGCTGTAAAGTCTACAAAATGGCCTAATACTTGTTTTTTTCCACAATAGCCCGTCTGCACCGAACACCGGTCCAGAGGCCTAAGCCATGGGATAATGGAAAGAAAATAGCGGACATTCTTGTGGCGGCCCACAGAAACCCGGGCCGTGCAATAAAGACAGACGAGATCACTAGTAAAGTGTACACACATTCAAACAGAGGAAAGAAGCAGCCAACTTCGCCACACGGGAGGAAAGGACCTGGGGTCTGGCAACCCTCCCTTATAATCTGTGAACTGCCAACCGGCTGTTCTCTAACTGCTGGGCTCAACTGATGTTTAGCTACGATAAACGAAAGTGATGAATAATTACTAATTTGCAAATCATTTTCTGTATTAAGCCCATCAGATTCTTTTTCTAATGTTTGTTTTTAATCACAAAGGAAACAGGAGAAGAAAATGCCTGCCCACATGTGCAATTAAAAACATTTTGTACTAAGAAAAACAAACATGTCATTAACAAATTAGCATTATATAATGCTTAACATACCTCTTTTATTCAAATGAAAAACATTATTTAATGTCATAGCTGTGGGGCACATGCTCATGCATAAGAGTTGTTGGCTCAGTGACCCAGGATTGAGTCTGACTTGGGTCATGTCCCACTCCCCCATCTACACTTGGCTGTCCTATAAAACAGCCCAAATCAACAAAAACTATTTTCATACCCTATATATATATCTATCTATATATATATATATATAGATAAAAAATGTTCTGTAATTAAATATTTTATGTATCATTACATATTTACTATAACTGGACCAGTCTGCTGTTTTCAAAGTAGACTGCTACAACTTCTAAAATATGCTGATATAACAGACAATACACAATAACTGACAAAACATAATTTTGTTGTATTTCAGAGGAGTCATGTATTGATTACATACATTTACATTAATACAGTTAAACACACACACATACAGTATACGCACATATACATATATAAATATATATTTACACATATACACACACACACATATATATTTCCAGATTTTGTTTTACAAAATTGTAAATAAAACAAAGATTCATGGATAATGCCGTCCAAGAAAATACAACACTCATACATCATATTTCAGTTTTTTACTTCAAAATTTCACATTGAATTCAGTGTGTTACTTGCTCTTTCTTTGTAATAGCTGGTGAAAATTATTAGCAAATTTTGAGTTTTTCTACACTTTCTAACCAATTTTTTTTCAGTGTATAAACATTTAAAATACATAAAGGTAAAAAAAGAAATATATTAGATAAACTTCTTTGAATTATTTCAACCAATTAGTTACATCAACAAACAATCCCTTCATAAAGATTTTCCAAATTAATTTGATTTCACTTCATAATGCTGTTCTCTTATGTTACTTAAGTTCTATATCAGGCTTGGACGATCACTTCAGACTATCAATGAGGTCATCTGTGGCACCCACAAAGCTTATGTGAAACTCATTTTCACATGTGTACAACACTTCATGCAGTTCACTTTGGACTGCATGATCAATTGCCGGTAATGGGGAATGTTCAGTTTGCAATCTGGAGTGAGAGACAGTGTGTATGTGTGTGTTTTGGTGACTATGAGACAGCGTCCCCTGGGTTGAAATAATGTGTGGTTGGGTGTGTGTGCATGCGTGGGGGGTTGTCCATGATTTATCAATGTGGGATTTTCAACCACATGAGCTCATTCTAGTTCCTCCACCCACTGCAATGCCACCAGAACACACACATGCTGCCCGGCCCAAGAACAATGAGGTGACTGGCCTCAAATGATTATTATGACCATTCGTGGCACAAAATAAGACAAAAGTGCATTGATTGACTGGTTACAGACACATTTGGTCTTGCATCCATCACCAATGACATAGGCTGATTGAAAAATTTCAAAACAATTAAAAGCCCAGCCATTTATGCCCTACATTTTTTTGATCTGTCAGGAGGGAAGGGAGTGTCCTGCTCTAGAAAGACATCAAGCAGCACGAACACCAACGCCTTTCTAATTAATAATTTACTGGCCTCTTCATGAACAAAGCTGCCAACTCTCTTATTCAGAACTGCAACGAACAGGTTCTCTAGATATTGGATTTTATGTTCTTACAAATATTTCAAGACAACAGTCTGCAGGTGACATCAATAATTGACAGAACAAGAACTGCAACCGAAAAATGAACAAGACTTTACAATAAGGTATTATTTGTTAACATTATCTAACAAACTTAACAAGAAGTAATATTCTTAAAGCATCTATTAAAATTGGTTAATGCTATTAAATGAAATACAACTATTTACTGAATCTTTTGATTTAACATATTACATTAGATATTTATTTATAAACATTTTAGCAAATGTTGAAATATGCATTAACAAAGATTTTAAAAAGATTGTAGAAGTATTGTTCATTGTTCGTTCATGTTAACTCATTTATTTAACTAATGTTTACAAGTGAAACCTTAAATGTAGTTAATGAGTAGACTACAGGATGTAAACGAGATAATGTATGATACAGATGATTCTAACATATTTCTTTAAAAAAATTCTAAAACTTCGCAGCAATTGAACATTCATTTTCAGTGAAAGTTGGCAATGTTGTGTCATGCAACATCCTCTTACAAAATCCTATGACCCTTTATCAATCAAAAATGTTGCAGACTTTCTTGTTCTACATAATCAAGAGCTTTTCTTAAGATATTAAACGCTATGCCAAAATCAAAGGCTAAGCTGCTAGTTTTTTCAGCAGCTGTTTTGTTTTATTAGCAGTAAGTCAGTCATGGGATGAGTGTCACGTCAGTGTCCTTCTGGTGAATGAGAGAAATGAATCAATGAAAACGGCTGGTTTCATTCATCCCACAAACAAGTTTCTCCAGATATAAAAAAAGCTTTTGTCCATGTTTTAGCACAAAGAGAATATTTATCCCAATAATGAAAAAAATGTTGAATTAAAATAGAGGGATCTTAAGACCTCGTGTCGAATATCATCACTGCTTCACCTTTAACACAAACAGGCACGTCTGCACACATTTACACCCGTCACATCACCTGTATGAATTGGCCATTTCCTTTCGTGTCTCAATTGCGGTTTCACGGCCCTAAGCAGGTACAGATCTGACTCACAATTCAAACCCGCCCAATCATGAAAGATGTGCACAATTACAATGCCATTGTGTGGCGATTGAGGGGACAGGGCAGGGTGAGGTATGTGAGTGTGCACCTGGGCAATGCTGTTCACATTTATGATTGTAAGTGGATTTGGTATATTTTATTATACTTAAGTTCATGTTAGGCATAAAAAGAATTTCCCAAATTCGTGAGGGGGGCTTCAGAATCTGGATGACAGTTAATAGTGTGTGTATTTGCACGTGTGTGTGTGTATCTAACATAGACAAATTTACTGAACATATGCCCAGAAGTTAGCAAACTCGGACAAAAACGCTTTTTGATGATATCCTGAAAATTAGAAGAAAAAAAAAGTTCACAAATTCAACAAATATCCTTTTGTCTTAATTATAAAAATTATAAGTTTTACTTAAGGTGTAGAGTTAGGTGTGTTCAAATTTCTCTATAGCCATTTGAAACCAATTAAAATTGTTTCATGGCACGCAAAACATTTGGATAGCAAGAGAAATTTGTGTTTCTGTGCAAGTTAACGGACAGTTAGACTAACTGTTTAAAAAACAAATAGTTAATTGTTCTGTAAAATGTTTTAAGCAACCTGTGGATTTTTTTGTCCAAATATGTGTTTTAATTATATTTCAATTTTAAGAATAAAATCAATAAAATAACAATAATCTAACGTAAAACTGTTTACAATATAAACAAATCGGGAGAATGGCAATGAAGAGACGGTGGAACAATAATGTAATAAAGCACTGAACGCAACACACTGAAACACAGAAGAAGAAAATACAGTCTTTTGAACATTTTCTTTTATGACAATATGCCAAAACATTTTTTTAAAATGATATCCACTCTTTATAAAAGTAACATTATTATGAATTCATTTTAACGTACCAGAATTATACATGTTTTGGCTAAGTGCATTTGAAAGTTTGTGAATAAATGGCGACACACCAAAACTATTGGAAGATGATATGAAACATAACATCACTGTACACTGACCCAACCCTGACATTTATATTGTCATAGCTGGTTACAGCTTCAGGGCAGCAAATGCAATTTTATTTCAGGATCTTTTCAATTTGCGCACGCTGCACAATCCCTCAAACACATTTAGCACTTTCTGCAATGGTTGTAAAACTTTCTATAGAGAAATGCAGTGTACGTCTTTTACTGATGGAAGCCAGGTGCGTTATTTCAAATGCACAAGAAATCACACTGATTAAATACACTAATAGCCCTTTCCCTCACATCCTACACAGACGTGATTCAAAGCTGATTATGACAAAATTATATTCTGGCTGTGTAAATAGCTGCAGGAAAACCACCACACACACACTTGTATGAGGGATTGTCTAAATGATGGCTTTTATTCAAGTGTAAACACTGAAATACAAAGCCCATCATGCTTTTATGCTCAAATTGAGCATAAATTGTTGATTTATAGTCAGATGTGGTAAATTTCAAACTGACAATAAAACAGCTATGGCAACAACCATTATTGACGGCAATATATTCACAGAAATGACTATTAATGCAAGTACTACTGTGTTTTTTGAACATGGTACCATGATAATACCAGGTTTTCTGGAAACATACTATTGTAATACCAAGGTGTTGCATAATGTACCTAAGAAAATCATGTAAATACTATTGTATGATATATATGAAGATTTTACTCTTATTTTAGATGTATATATAAGATATATAAATATTTAATATCATCTAATATTTTTATGTAACTTGCTCATATATATATATATATATATAGCATATTTTGTATATTTTATTACATACACACACACACACATCTTAGACATCCAGTGATTTACAAAACAGTCCAATTAACTTGAGTTAGTACCTCTGAAATAAAAAGTAAGAGGGTCAAAGTATGATATTTTACAACACAAATAAAATAGTGGTCAGCGGACCGGTTCAAAGGTCCATAAAAGTGCCCGCTGCTTGAAGTTATAACAACTGACTTTCCTGCGAGGGGGTAGAGTACACGTGGTCCTGCCTCCCACTGAGAGAGAGAGACACAAAGAGAGATGTTGGGGTCGAACTGTGACTCACACAAGTCTGTGAGATACTAGACAAAGCAGACATCAGAAACAAATCACGAGAACTTCGTAAAGACAGGGCTTGTTTGGTGAGTAACGGTCTTTTGCAGCTCCAAATAAGCTGGCGATAGGGTCACCTGTCATTCATTAGAGGCCAGTAAAAAAAGTACAATTCCATAAATTTATACTGAATATTTTCATCACAGTTTTATGTATCCTTTCCATATCCCTGATAGACTGACTGCTCCATTAGGAGAGAGTGACTCCACAAGAGTGGGACTGAATTAACATCAAATAATTAAATAATTCTACCCTTCACTCTCTGCTGGACAACGAGAACTAAACGCGCGACCTCAATCACTTAATTAAAACTGGATCAAACAGTCACTGATGCTCAGATAACATCAAAAAGGACCAAAAAAGATCAATTTGGTAGTGAAAGTAAATTTGTTAAATAGCACTAAATGAGTTCTGAGGTGAGGGTGAATAGGCAAAATGTTCAGGCCACCTTAAAAAAAAAAAAAAGAGAGAGATAAAATAAGACATCACATTTTGCATAAAGACAGTAAAGCCTGTATGAGGATCATAATAGGTTTTACCTTATGACATTATTTTCACAAAAATAAAGCTAATTTCCCTTCAAATTCTTAATACTGTGCAAAACAGAAAGTTAACACCAGGAGGAAATAAGTTCAACATAACTAAAGCAACCATTATGTGTACTTACAATTGTATTTCATAATTGAGATAATATCATTATTTTTCTCCATCACAGCAGGGGACTATTTATTGTTTGATCTCAACTATTTTTTGTGAAGAAAAAATAAACAAAACAAAAAAATGATAGTAATAATAATAAAATATCCATCAAACAAAAATACTAAAGATGGTAAAGTTCTAGGTGACCACAAAATGAACTAGGTCAAATGAAAATATCATGTACTCTGACTGTACACCAATAATTATGTTAGTGAATCTACAAGCACTAAAAGTGCATGAAAATAATTTATCATCATCATCATCACTTTTTTGTTGTTAATTTTCTTTAGCAATGTATAATCCATTTTTCTTTTCTTTTTGAGAACAAAAAGATTTCATGACCGTTATCACCTGGATATGCCAGAACCAACAGAACAACTACAACTGTATTTTTACTTTCCAATGTATATGTTAATTACATAGAGATGACATTTTATATACACACACAGTGTATCATATGAGTGAGGCATGCCATTACATCATCCAACAAAGTACCTTTGTTCTGTATCACAAAAGTCCAACAGGGAAACATGATTGCTGAATGCAGGTCAGGCAACAAGTTCACAAGCTGAAAGAAAGACTCCAATTATCTCTCTAGATAAGAGAAATTCATATGTTGAAAAACCAAACAAGCGTCCTTTAATAGTTTAATGCCACTACAGGTAACAAGACCGTTAAACACAATGTGGGGCAAAATCGTGTGGATCTCAGACACACTAACATCTGGGCTCTTTAGTAAGAGCAGGGCCAAGAGCTAACACAAGTTTATGGCGCCATCTTCTGGACATTGTGTAGACTTGAAGGAAAAAGAACACAACATAAGGAAGGTCTATGATAAATTCGAAGTATGATGTATTATGTCAGTATTAGTCCCAAACATTTCTGTTTTTAATTTTTCTAAATTTTAAACTGATTATTATTATTTTTTTTTTTTCAGATTTTAAATCTCTTAGATTTGAATGTCAATTGATTTTTAGGCCCCACAGTATAACAAAGAATTACAAATAAATCATATAGATTAGGTCTACTGAAATCCTGGCAAATACAGATAATCAGATAATCATTTTCATAAGAACTAATTAAATGGATGATTTTATAAATCTATTTATAAAAATCTACTTTGACAAAAAATAACTAACTACATAACAACTAGATAATAGATAAATAAATACATAAATAGTTTGTATGCTCCAAGTGGATTTAGGAACCTTAACATTATAATAAACAATATAAAAATTGATAAATATTCCTTTTAAAATATGCACACACACACACACACACACACATATATATATATACTAAATATCGGCCAAAAAAAATATAGAATATCGGACAATAACAAACAAACAATCAATCAATCAATCAGGCACTATAGTGTTAATATAATTAATATCCCTAATCCATATCCCTAATGCTTTCACTGTAACAAAACAGCATCAAACTTTTACTCTTGTCAACTCTTAATCAGTACATTTATTATGTAATACTAAACATATTTATAAACCTGTACACACACACACACACACACACACACACACACACGAATCTAGAAGTAAAATATCTGGTTAAATAATCTCAAGTTATTTTCAATATTTGTAGTTTCTAATTAAACCAACCCCAAACTGACAGTTAACGCATGACTAACTTAATTGACCAGTTCCTAGTAAGTCTCGATGAATCCGAGGGTCACTGGGTTCGCCTGTTACATAATCAACCACGCGATGTCGCTGCAGCTCTAGCAGATAACAAGAGAAACATAACATGCCAAACCGTAAAAGATAAGTTATTAAACCTTCTCAAATTACATTTACATCTTTTAGAGGACGTTTCTAGTTCATTCTTTCAGCACTTGAATCCAGTGACGGTGCCAAGTGAAACAGAGCAACTGCGTAGCGCGCGTGTGACGCAGAAGTATATTCAGTTAGTCAGCCCTCTCTAAAACCTACCAGCTGTTTGAAGCCTCTGTCTGTGGCCGTGCCAACACCTGTATGTCAAAACAGAAGCTTAAAGTAAATAATTTCGCGATATAGGGTTTAAAAAAAGCAGTGTCAGACCGAGACATAGCATGGAAACACAAGAGGACTCAGTGAGAACAACGAGTAGTGGTTGGGTCGTTATTGAACGATTCGTTCGTTTTGAACGAATCTTTAATGTGACTCGGGAAGAACGAGTCGTATCGGGGAGCGATTCGTTCAGTCGCGCATGCGCAACATCCTATAGGTTCTGTACTGGAATTAGTCAAGTAGTTCACCTGGTTCGAGTCTTCGGGTTTTTCCGAGTCGTTCGTTCATCACGTGACAGCCCCATAAGCCCAAACCCGAAGACTTGTCAGATAAGAGCTGGTGAGCTAATCATAGACTGAAGACTCAGGTAAACAATGAATTCATATTTTCTGTTTCTTATAGCAGTTTTGTATTGTTTGTAGTGTGATCAACGTTTGCTTAAGTAGTAGACGTGTTAGGGAAGTAACACGTAACATTTTAATTATATTTTGTTAAAATGAACGAAATGACTCGAAAAAAGATTCGTTCATTTTGCTGAACGAGACTCAAAGGTCCGAGTCGGGAAAATGATCCGAACTTCCCATCACTAACAACGAGACAGAACGACGTATGTGCGTGCGTGCGTAAGGGAGGGGCGTGTCCTCAGCTAAACCGCGGGTCAACGGGTTCGTTCATTCCAGCAGCCTCGTGAAATGACAACCGATCCCAAACAAGATGTGCAGTTCTGACACACACACGGTACCAAACACCACCCGTTATCGACACATATTAACACACGCACCTGCAGACCCCAGACACTGCTGTATGACCATCACACGCACGTGGATTCACTTTCACCCTGAACAACATACAATGTTTACGCACGCATATGCAAACAAGGAAGCAATGTGTGGGTTACACAACCACTTATACAAGAAAAAACACTATTACATAAGCTTTTAGAAAGATGCAACCTAAAATACATACAGTACAATTATGCATGCAGCTGCCTCCTATATGAAACTATAATAAAACACATTTGCATGGTACAGACATGATGCAGGTGGTTCTTACCAGCTGAAGAAGCCGTACACGCCTGTTCTCAGTCCAACAGGACAGAAAAAACAAACTTTCTTCAAATGCAAAAAGGTACAACAGCACATCTGAAGCAGACAAGCAGATGTGGGAGAAAGTAAAAGACAAATGAGATGGGAGCAGAGAAGTACGACTTATGGGAAGAGAAACAGAAGTGCGACACAGCAGGAAAGGGGAGAGAGAAATAGACAGAGAGAGAGAGAGAGAGCGAGAGAGGGGCACCTAGTGTGAGTTCTTGCTGTTGCAGAGAGGGGTGGTCGGAGCTGTAGGGTACCAGAGTTCAAAGCACTGAGAGAATAAGAGTGTTATTCTGCTACAGCCAGCCAAGTCTTACACAACACCAACCAGGGGCAACAAGTTCCTTCTGCCTATCTCTCCCTCCCTCGCTCTCATTCACCAGCTCGCTCACTGTCTTGTTTCCTCACTCATAGATTCACTATTCTTTCCATTTCATCTATTTCTGTTTCACTTATGTGGTTACTCTTTCCCTTGGATTTTTCTTCATCACTCCCTACATGAAAACACAACTGAAATCCATTTAATCTCTTTTCAAATTACATACAGAGCAAATTGCTTATAGGGATAGTTTACCCATAAATGAATATTCTGTCATCATTTATTCAGCCTCATGTAATTCAAACCCGAATGACTCTTCTGTGGAAGGAAAAAAAGATATATATTTTGAAGAACATTGAGAACCAAACAACACTGGAGCCCACTGATTTTAATTGTATATAGTCCAACAAAAAAATATATTTCTCAAAATATCTTCTATCATATTCCACACAAAAAAAGTCATACAGTTATAGAATGACATGAGGGTGAGTGAGTGATGACAGCTTTTTCATTTTGCTTCTTAGATTTGTCTCCTTTGAGTTTTAGAAGAGAAAAAAGTCCCAAATTCTTCTAAGATTCTTCCTAGAACAAACACAATTCACATTCATTTTATAGCTTTACGTTTTTGCTGCATGTGAGCAATTGCGCATAATTCCTGTTTTTATTGCTCTTAAGGAATTTTAGGAGAAACATCTGAGGCGAATCCATTAAGTGGCTATGAAAGAGGATGATCTGAGCTGTAAAATGTTCCTCTGGGTCCCTCCATCTCCTGTTGGTGAAAAGGACAGGCTGTTTTGCAGTGGAACTTGCGGGTTCAGATTATTATGGAGACATTATGAAGGTTTTCTGGAAGAGAGATCTGCATCACTGGAATTCCAGGAAAGCAAAACAGTAAATGGTCTCATTTCCCGCTTCATACGACACCTACTTTGTCAGTGGAGAACTTTCAATGCCATTATGAAAGCATACTGGATTACTTTTATAGCTAGCATGAATGTAAGAGATTAAGTATAGCATGTACATTAGGATTTTGGTGAGGATTTGGTTTAGATGTAAGGTCACAGCTGGGTTAAGGTGTTTGGTCACTACTGAATTTGCATTTAAAGGGATAGTCTGCCCAAAAATGACAATTATGTCATCATTTACTCATACTTGTGTTGTTCCAAACCTGCATGGCTTTCTTCTGAGGAACACAGAAAATATTTTGAAAAATGTTCCAGTGTTTTTTGTCTGTACAATGAAGGTCAGTGAGGTCCAGTGTTGTTTTGGACCCTACTGACTTCCATTATATGGACAAAACAGTTAAAAATATGCTATTTTAAGAGAAAAGAAAGTGATACAGGTCTGGAAAGACATGAGGATCTATAAATGATGACATAATTTAAATTTTTTCTTGAACGGTCCCTTTAAGTATTTGATTAAATAGGGTTTTTTATATGTGATTTTTTTTCCAGTTGCACATAGAAACTGTTTATATAAGTCTGATATAAAAACTGCAGAATCATCATTCATAAATCACTGGTGTCAGGTTTAGCAATAATGAGAGCTTGTTGTTGTGAAGAGATGGAGATGTCAAGGCATGTTTTTGTGCTGAGCTAGAGAAGGTATTACACAACTACGTTCACAAACAAAAAACTGCAATAAATCTTTAAAATAACAGCATCATAAATTAGGGTTTTAATGCAATCAAATCAGTGCACAAAGTGATCCAAGATTATAACCAAGCTCATCATCGTTTCAAAAACCTGACAACATTGGAGTCTAAAAATAGAAAGAAAGATTTCATAATTGTTACATAACAGCAGGCTCAGCTTCACCTTCTGATGTGCTGCCTGAATGGAGACGGCAGCAAAGAGGATAGGGAGGAAACAAGGCCATGATTTGTCCCTTTGTACACAATTAAATAAACTGATGATTTGCTAATATGTAATAGCAGCAAAGCAAATTAAACTGACATCTAGAGTCCTTAAAAACAGTCTAGGTCGGAGCTGTGGCCTACCAGTAAGTAACGACACATTCTTCCAAGGAGGAAGACACTGGTTTGAGTCCAACCCCTCTATCTCATCTCAATAATTCCAATTCAAATCTCTGCTGTCTCAAGAGAAAAAATAATAACAATTGGAAGAAACTGCATTGAAAAAGAGTCTACATTGTAAAAATGTCTTGTCTGGACATCAACAAATGTGCTTCATGTGGTAACACCTACATTAACTAAATTAGGTTACCAATAAGTCATTATAAAATTCTGATGAGGTAGAAAAAGGTTCTTAAAGGAGCAGATCACCCAGAAATGAAAATTTGCCATCCAAATTTGTAGATGAATTTATTTCATTGGAACAGATTTGGAAAAATTTAGCATTACATCACTTGCTCACTGAAGGATTTTCTGCAATGAATGGGGGCCGTCAGAATAAGAGTCCAAACAGCTGATAAAAGTATCACTATAATTCACAAGTAATCCACATGACTCCAGTCTTATGAACAAAAAAACTATCCATAATAACTATTCATCCAATGAAAAAGGCAATTTCCTGTTGTTCTCTCATATCAGAATCCACCGACATAATTGTTTAGAACCGTTTTGGAATGTTTTCGCTTGTAAAGATAACTTTTTCACTGGAGAAAGCAAAATTGTGGATAGAGGACTCATAACGGTTTAAAGTTAAAACACCTTATGGATTTGTTTCTTACAAACACACAGCTTTTCACTTCACAAGACTTTAATTGATGTACTGGAGTTGTGTGGATTACTTGTGGATTATTGTGATGTTTTTATCAGCTGTCTGGACTCTAATTCTGACAGCACCCATTCACTCCAGAGGATCCGTTGGTGAGCAAGTGATGTAATGCTAAATTTCTTTTTCATTGAAGAAATAAACTCATCGACATTTTGGATGGCATGAAGGTGAATACATTTCCAGCACATTTTCATTTTTGGGTGAACTATACTTTTTAGACAACAATGACACAATTTCCCTGGAGAACTATCCATTTACCTCTCATGTTAAAAATGAGCTGTGAACAAATGGGAACTTGCTGAGGGGAGTGGAGCATCCGTTGGCCTATTTTGAAGCAGTCATTTGCGTCAATGTTGAAAAAGCCAAAGTCAGACGTCTGGTCCGGGAATGTCAGACTTAGTCATATTAGAATCATTTCCACGTCAGTCTTACGAGTCAGAGCAGTTCGCCTGATTAAACGCTCCCACACATGCTGAGAGACGACTCGAATTTCTCCACATGAAAGATCTGTTTTTCCATGTAAACTTGCCAGTTAAAGCACAATTAAAGCTGCACATTATCAGCCCCTGAGCAAAAAGTAGTCAGTCAGTAAGAAGATGGTAGGCTGAAATAAGCGAGTTTCTGTATTATCTAATATATACAATACATACAATGCAATATTTACAAATCTGTCATGTGCATCACACTACATAAACATTAAAGTGGCCTTCTTGAACTGTATGTACTCTTGAAGCACACGTAGAGCACACACTCTATCACATTCAGCTGTGTGGGAGGAGACCACACAGAGGCCCCTGGTTCTAAGTGTTTAACTACTGGTATTACATACCCGTGGCTGTTTCGCAAGAACAGCCTTTTCAAGCCTCTTCTGCAGAACTGAAACAAAATCTATTAAAATAATCTCAGGGGGTTTTAATAAACCCAGACTAATTTGGCAAAGACTCCAACTTGCAGTTAAATGTCAGTCTTAATTTGTAAGAACCGCTGCGAGTGCTTTTATCGGCTTAAGATGAGGCTTGGAGATGTAAATGACACTGTTAATGGTGATTCTTAAATCTTTTTGAGGCAGAAAGAGTCTAGTAGTTTTTTTCTGTCTAATGCATTTAGATTTAATTTAGAGAATTTTTCCTATTTCTTGATCAACTTCTTCAATATGATGAGTGGACTGGCCTCTTCCACATTACATCTTCTTATCCATTTGTTTCTACTGTTTATCATGTACATTTACATGCATGCATATATGCACACATATGGGGATTCTGTTAATACTTTGCTGTTCCAATGAAAAATCATATATATATATATATATATATATATATATATATATTAGAATGATTTCTGAAGGATCATGTGACTGGAGTAATGACTGCTGAAAATTCAGGTTTGCCACCAAAGGAATACATTACATTTTAAAACATTACAATAGAAAAGTTATTTTAAATTTTACAATATCACTGTTATATTACTGTATTTTTGACCTAATAAATGCAGCTTTGGCGAGCACAAAATACTTAACATTAAAAAAAATCTTATACTTTCAGTTGTTTTTCATTTTGGTTAAAGTTTAAGTAATTTTGTTGCGTGTTTATGTCATATAGAAATTGTATTTTTTTATTTTAGTTTGTTATTTTAGTACTAAAGCTAAATTAAACGCAAATGAGAAATGTTGCCTTGGCCAGTTTTTAACTTTTTTTATTTCAGTTAACATTTATTTTATTTCAAGTGACAATTTTTTTATGGTTTTATTTTTAGTTTCAACTGTAACTATAATAACCCTGGGATGAAGTATTATAATATATTTACATCTGAAAATTGCCTTTCAAAAGAACAAGCATTAGGTGTGCACATTTCTGTTCTAGTAAGGTCAATGAGAATGAGTGATTAGAAGAAAGCCTGCAGGGCTGACCTGCCTTTCCAGAGCTCTGATTGTGCTGGTCCGACAGTCCCACTCTTCTTCAAGGAAACTTCAAATCTGTCCCATTTTCAGTCATCTCATTATAGACAATCATGCACCTGTGGGACAGATAATCACAATGTTTAAAATGTCTTTAGACCCACACAGAGGAAGACAGAGAGGGGGAAGTGAGCGATACAGAGTCTGCATTCACCTTCTTTTCTGGTTTCTCTCTTCTCTGCCTGATCATTCTGGTGGCTGCAGTTCTCTGCTGTGTTTTGCAGATTACTGTAACCCAATCGGACCTGTGCATGACCCAGGGATACAACAATCTGCATTGCCAGAGTCATCATGGATGCCAAGGCAAGAGTGCAAACAACATTATGTAAAGCTAAAACCAAAAACCAAAATCATGGTTCATTTTCATAATTATTCCAGTCTGGAACCTAAACATCCCATCCCAATGATAGTTCACCTAAAAATGGATAGTCTGTTATCATATACTCACCCTCATGCCACTCTAAATATTTATGACTTTCTTTTTTCTGTGGAACACAAAAGGGCATATTTAGCAAAGTGGTCTTGTTGCATTTCCATACAATAAAAGTAGATGGTGATCTTATCTGAGATTGTGCTAAACTTTCTGCAGATGGAAGAAGGTCATTTGAAATGACATAAGAGGTGGAGGGGGTATGACATTCTTTCATTCTTTCATTTAAATTTTTCCTTTCTCTTTGGAGTGTTACAAGCTCTTGGTGCATAAAGAAGATCTGTAAAGTTGCAAAGACTAAAGTCTCAAATCCAAAGAGATATTCTTTATAAAAGTTAAGAGTCAACCACGCCTACCTAAAACGGCTCGTTCGAACACGCCCCCACATGTCTACCTCACTATGTGGGAAGATTTGCATAACGCCGCCCAAATGTTCACGCAAAGAAAGAAGGTGTAACTTTTATTCTCGCTGTAGTATTGTTGTTGCCGCCAGGGCCGTTTCTATCCAATTTGACGCCCTAGGCGAAACCTAAATATTCAGATGTCAAGTTTTGAGCAGTGTAGAGTAGCACTTGTTTGTCATTTCTCCGATCACAAATGCAGACATGGTTTTATGTTTACGCGGCGCGATGCAACGCAACGCGTAAAAAGACCGTATAAATCATTATAATCAGTAATTATGTCCCCACTGGATGCAACAAACGCCTCGTTTATAATGGGTTTTAATGTTTTTGTCTCGTCGCTCCGGCCGGACACGGCATCACAGTATGGTAAGGGGCGTAACATTTCCGTCACACGTTTGAGGTATTCGGCCAATCACAACGCACTGGATAGCTGGCCAATCAGAGCACACCTCGCTTTTCAGAACGATGAGCTTTGTAAAAATCGATGCATTTCAGAAAGGCGGGGCATAGAGGAGAAACAATAATGTACAGTATGTGGAAAATAATGTGCTTTTAACCTTAAAACGCATAAACACATTTCATTACACCAAATACACAAAATAATATTCTTTTTAGCAACATCATATGACCCCTTTAAGACTGCATGTGACAAACTCACACAAAGTTTGTGTATTTGTGCACTTTACGATATCTTAATGAGATCTCACATTCACTAAATAGGCCAGTGGCATGTCTATATAAAGACCCTCATTCCAGTTACCAACCACACAAAAAACCCTGAGGCCCACCACAAATGCGGCAAAAATAACCCCTAAGGACTGCAGAGTTTTGACAACAGGCATACAAAAAGTTTTTACAGTACCATCACTGCTGAAGGTACTCTACGTTGCTGTGAAAACACTTTGATGCCGGTTTTTTCTTGAAACTCAATCTTTTCGCATCTCTCTCTTTTGTTCGTCAAAACGTTCAGTACTTGTTCTCGCTTCTCCAGTTTCACTGTGCAGCAACTCACATCAGATCTAACAACCTGCATAATGTAATGCACATCTGTAATTGTATTAATTTTGGTGTTCTTTACGACTACCGATTTCACATAGTTCTTCGCTGAAGATGAATAACCTTCACTGCTGGTGTCAAAGCAGCATATGAACAGCAGCCTGGATTAAAAAAAAAAAAGAACCAGCAGGTAAAACAATCTTGAATGTCAGAATCAAGAACATTTCGTCAGTAGTTGAAGTCTTACACAATCTAGAGCACACCTGCTCTCCCAGGGGTACACTAAGGGTGTAAATCCACGAGAGGCCAGGCCCGAAAAACACAGTGTCTGGTTTCAAAGCTTCTTTACACTGTCTTAAATTAGGCTGGGTGACTGGGTCTCTGGGGTTCAAAAGTGTAAAGAATTAAAAGTGCCCAGATAAGAGTTTGGGCCCTAATTGTAAGAGTAGATATGCTGCTGTTAACGCATGCACCTGCCTATGAATGACACGTATAGCCGTGTCCTAACCCATGATGCTCAAAATGCTGTCTAGGAAGGTAGCTAGATTTTGAGACCTCACACTTACGGTTTCAAACGTCATGGGCATAATTAGGCACACACAAAAAAAAAAAAGCAACAACACCTTTTCACCGCCTATTGAAATGACCGTGGATCATTTTCTTCCTAAATTATTCAGAATGAAGGTGTGAAAGGAAGGTCAACACATTAAAATATTCATACGGATAAAATACACATAATAGAAACCTGACTCGATTTTTGCTGAATATTTCTCGGGTTTTCGCGGCGGCGGTTGCTTTAAACACGTGACGTCATCACTCCGCGTCGGCTTGGAAGAAGCGGCTCGTGGAGTTTGCAGGAAACTTCAGGCTTCGATTGCTGGTGAGACCGGTTTCAAATGTTCAGAAAGACATTTATGCTTAATAGTCTCACCAGCACTGGTTAGTATACTTAACAAAAGCTCGTTTGAGCGAACACGTTTGAACTAGATTTAATCCAGCCGGTGTTCTGGTTTTTGCTACCTCGCATTAAAACAGATGGTAGCATAATTCGATAGCGAAAAGTGCTACCTATCAGATTTTGCTTCCAGCATGATATTGATAAGGTGTGAGGCTTTATTAACAAGCACACCTACCCTTACAGTAGGATAAATACAGTGTTGGTAGCATGGTAACCATGTTTTTTTTTGGCGTATTGATTACCATTTGTATAACCACATTTTTACTATAAATACCATGGTTAAACTATGGTTAGTGTAGCAAAACCATTGTTAATTTGTGTTTACCATGGTTTTTTAAGTTTTATTTGTGGTAAAACCATGGTTAATTTTCGTAATGGACGAGTGTAAGCATGTGAAGAAACGGATCTTTTTATAGATTATTAGTAGCACAAATATTAATGCTTATTTGATTCTGTACCCATACAGCGGCTCCCAGTGTTTCCTCTAAAATCCAATAGTTTATTTTTATAGTTTATTAGTTGTCATATCTGATATGAGACTAATCTGATCAATTCTGCGAGCATTTAGATTTAAAACACTGGATTTATGTCAAACTGGCCTTTTAATGGTAAAAAAGTGCTAACCACAGTTTCTTGTGGTTAAAATACTATAGTAACAGTCATTGTTACTAACATAAACATAGTAAATGAATGTGATATACAACTCTTTCTGTCATTTAGTTTCACTTTATATGCCAGTTGTAGATAGTACCAGTTTTATTGTAGTAACATTAACCTTTGTACTATGGTTGTACTATGGTAATTTTGTGTAAAGGTAGAGAACTGCACTGGTGTTTGTATTACGAATCACTCTTGTGTTTCATCAGATACGAGGATGGATTCTCAGTATGGGCCTGTCGCTCTGGGTATACTGGCAGGTGTAGGCTGTGGGTTCTGCCTCGGGTGGCACCTCGGTGGGCGTTTTGGCAGATCGTCCTGCAGCATGATGGCAGCTTTAGGAAACGGCGCCGGTGCTGGCAGCGAAGCCAGCGTGATGGGCGAGAGCGGAGAGTTCAAAATGATCCTGGTGGTCCGAACCGATCTGAAGATGGGCAAAGGTAAAGTGGCGGCCCAGTGCTCCCACGCTGCCGTGTCCGCCTACAAGCAGGTCCAGCGCAGAAACCCAGAGCTCCTGAAACAGTGGGAGTACTGTGGTCAGCCCAAAGTTGTGGTCAAGGCTCCAGACGAGGACTGTCTGCTGGAGCTGCTGTCCCACGCCAAAGAGATCGGACTGCCGGTCAGTTTAATCCAAGATGCTGGAAGAACCCAAATTGCACCAGGGTCTCGGACGGTTCTTGGCGTGGGACCGGGACCTGCTGATCTTGTTGATAAAGTGACTGGACACCTAAAATTGTATTGATTGATATTATTGGATTAAGATGGGACTAATCTGGGACAGTTTGACCAATACTTATCATTTTTATACTACCAGAAAGTGCAGTGAAGTTGAATTAAAATGGTTTAAATGACACATTGATTTATAGGTTTAACCATTTATTTTAAGTAAACAGTTCACCCATTTCATCATTGAACACGAGTAAAAAATTTTTGGTCATAGTAAGTCTTATGTACAGAAAATTTGTTATTTGGGAATATCATTTCTATCATATTTCAATCACCCCTCTCATACCCAATGTTTGTTAAACTTTGGTGCAGAACCCACCTCCTGTTCCCGTTTCAATCACACAACAATGCTTGTATGATAAATTCTGTGAACATATGGATTTAAAACACTGGATTTATGTCAAACTGGCTTCTTAAGTCAGTCTTGAGTATTAACAGTTTTATTTACACGAGTGATTAAGACACAAATTCCGTTTATTTTATGAATGTCAGAATGAAACTGTCCAGTGAGTATGAAGGGGGAGACATTACAAAGATTTTTTTGGGAAAGAATACATGGCACAATCTGTTTTTAACCAGACTTTTCTTGACAAACAAGAAACCTTTATTTATATTGTAATCTGGGGGGAAAATCTCAATTCTCTTTGTGCACAACCAGATCACTACAATATATGTATGATTAATCTCAACTCAGTGAAAACTGAGTACAGGACACACAGGGAGTTAGTTTAATCTTATCTTTTCTTTTTTTTTTACAAATAAAGGGTATATTGAGTTTAGGAATAACTGGCAGGATAAACTGGCTTTCTAGTCTCACTTCGGTGCCGTAGAGTGACCTAAACATCACAACAACAACCAGCATACACACATATACACGCTGCAGCAGAGAGGTAAGGTTAGTAAAACACACAGGTGTGGAGAGCCACATACATATTTATATAGATTTTAATTATTATCCCTCCTCAAATGGATGGTCCCACACAAAGAGCACGGGTTACTGCACAACATAAGTTTGTTTTTCATATGGAAAACAAAAACTGGAGAACCTGCATAGGTCAGGGAAAAGGTTTGAAGTTACTGTATTAATACATCTTTATGCATTTAAAATAATCTTTTTTTTTATATATTTCGAGCGCTACACACCCCCATTGAATTACTGGTATCGAGTAGTGTTTGTTTGTGGAGGCGGTAGTCGCACATTTTCCTCTATTTTCTTTTCTTTCCTGGAATATACAATATTAAATGCTGACAGACTGGACAAGCTGCTCACACACATCAAAATTATACATTAATTGTTTTTCTCTGACTACGGAGTGCAAATCCGATTTTGTTTTGTCATTTTAATCATGCCGACTTGCTTCTTCCACAAGCCTCCTCATTGTAGACATCATTCCCCTTTTATTGACATAAAATTGCCAGGAAAATTAAATCTAGTAAGTATTTGGAATGTGAAAAAAATAATTCTTGATGAAATCTTTGACAATATAGAAATAAAGTCCTTCATGATGGTATAAAGAAAACATGATAAACAAAAGCAATCATTTAAAAAAAAAAAAAAGGTAAAGTAAAAGAATAACATTTGCTCAAATCCCCCGTTGCGAGCACCAAGTGGTAGAGTCGGACTGGTGGAGGATTAAGGGAGAGATCCATGGGGATGCTGGACCGAACCAAGCGGCAGCAGGATTAGGGGTGAGCAGGAAATGGGGGGGTCCTTACATGCCGTAACCGAAACCCGGCTGGGCCTGAGGAGCCTGGGGGTAGCCAGGAGCTGCTGTGTACCCGTAGCCGTAAGCCTGCTGCGGGGGGACAGGCACACTGGGACCTGCTGTCAGCATGAGCTGAGGCGTGCCTGAGGAATGAGAGATATTGAAAAAAATATTATAACATTATATTTTCTAAAACATAAATACTAATCAATTTTCATCTCAATGCACTTCCATCATTTTACCATAAACAATGGGTTGAGTCTCTGTCGCCTGCTCCTCCTCTTTCCTCAAGGACTCCGAGGTATCCAGCTTGTCCACCTAAATACATGAGGGAAAACAGGTTTTCAGTCTGTATAATATGATCATTCCGTCAAGTAATAGGAATCTATCTTAAAATAATCAGTTTATTGTCAATTAAAATTAAGTCAAAAATTATGTAAATACATAATTATACTAATGCCTATAATATGGATGTTAATAAAAATGTTTTCACTTTTCAAATCAACAAACGGATATTTAAAATAAATACTTTTAATTCATGTTTAAAATGTGAAATCTATTCTTTTTATATTCAAGTTAATATATTGATGTTAATATATTAATGTCTTCATTTTACACATTTATACTAATTTTACTATATGTAAATGTTAATCACTTCAAATTGACATATTTAAAATGATTTATTTGATTAATGTTAGTCAACTTTATTCACATCTAGTTTTAAATTAGTATTCTGGTATTTGATGTCTTTATAATAATAATTATAATTAAATACATAATTATACAATTTATATGTAACTTAAATCACATTTCAAAGTGAGAAATACACTTTTTCAAATGGTTTAATTCATGTTTAAAATGTTAACCAATTTTTTTTTTCATGTTTTTAATTGTTAAAATACTGATAACTGATGTCTTCATTTTTGTTATACTAATAATTAATGTAATGTACTGTTAATACATTTTAAAATGAAATGTTTACCATTATAAAATGTATTCACGTTTTTATTTTCAAGTTAATAAAGTGAAGACATCAATTATCAATGTTATACTAATAATTATAATTATTTAATAATGATACAAATATAGTTGACTTACTGTATGTAAATGTTAATAAATTGAAAACAAATTTTAAATGATTTCATTCAAGCTTAAAACGTTAGTAAAAGGTCATCGTTTTGAAATGATTCACAATAATTAATGCTCTTTTTATTTTTAAGTGGCATTCCTAGTCCTCCATACATTTGTACCCCATTTTAGAGTAGCAGCCCATCCTTACCTTGCTGAGGTATTCCCTCATCACCTGGATGAAGTAAGGCATGGCAAAGTCCATGATGTTGTGCCTCCACGCCGTCTCCAGCACCACATCAGGCCTGAGCAGGTCGTAGCAGGTGAAGAGGCAGGCGGCGAAACACTCCTTCTTATCTTCCCGAAGGAACCACTGCAGCAGCTCCTCAGCCAGCTCTGTGTCCTTCGACTCTGATGCATACAGCATGGCATCCTGGGTAGAAGAATATGTGTTGCTGTCACGAATCAGATCAGCTACATTTCATTTTTAAAAAAGCACGACACCGCGTCGTCCACCTCACCTTGTAGAGTTTGTCTTTCTTGCACAGCTCCACGCTCTGCTTCCATCGGTTGTTACCCTTGAAGAGGTAAGCAGCGATTCTCCTGAACTCGATCAGCTCGTGTTTCTCCAGACGCTGGGCCAGTGAGATGTTATCAAAGTTATCGTATGCATCTATAGATGTCCTGAGTGCCTGCGGACGGGAGAGTTGAGCGGATGATGAGTTGGCGGACAACAGCTACTGTAAAAAGCTACTATGTTTATAGTCTTTCTGAAAAATACTTTACAGTGTTGTTTGTACCTGATAGTCTTCCTCTGAGATGAAGAGGTTGTTAAGTGCTTCATTGACAGATTTGTTGTTGTGGTTTTGTACTGACCGCAGGTAAGGCTTGATGAGTTGAAGCTGTTTAACCTGAAGAAACAAACAAGTCATTTTAGCTGATTTTAAACAAGCACGAAGTTCAAAGTTCAAAGGCTCACCACACAGGCAAGGTTTCTCTACCTTGCTGAAGAAGTTGACGGCACGCGAGTGATCCAGTCTTGGGGAAAGAACTATGAGCAGGTCGTTCAGTAACAAGGGCTTGAACTCCAGATAAAACTGGATTGCTTTGTAGTACAGTTCCACGTTTGCCACCTAAACAAGACAAGAAAAAAATCACTGTAATTTAACGCATTTCCTGGTGTTGTTATATTATTGTTTATATACTATTTTATTATTTATTAATATTTTTTTTATTAATTTTTGATTTTTATACGATCACTATTCTTTTGAAATTTAAAGTAATTTTGTTATGTACATTGGTCATTTTTCAGCTTAAATTTATTTTATTTCAGTTAGTTTCCAAGGGAATATTTCTAATTTTCATTTACTGTTGTTTTGTTTTTCATTTAAAATGTATTCCCTTTTTGTTTTTTTAATTTATATATTATTATATAT